GCGACGTTGCCTTCGCGATGTCGCCTCTTTCTACCTAGGCGGGAAAAGGCGATGTTGCGTCGCCTTTTTCGGCAACGTCACCCCCGCTTGGGGAGAGGAGAGACAATGACGTCGCCAAATTATATATATATATATATATATATATATATATATACCGAACGGTATACTGCTCGGTATATAGTACCGTACCGAGCGAATGTCGAAACTCCGGTATGATACGATATTTCAATCCTTGATATGAAGTACTTTCACTTTTTTTTTCCCTTGTACTATCTACCCTGTATCCTACCCATTCTCTGTCTTGTTGTTAATTTTGCATGGCTTTTGATTATTACATCTATGATGATGAAGATTCCAATAGCGAAGTAACAATCTAGAGAATCAATAAAATAAAATACCCAAAAAAAATAGTTCAAAGATTTAGATTTACATGGTTTGACACCCTAATTTGGAGAGAAAAGTCGAAAACTATGTTCTTCACTATGTTAATAGGAAAATACAATAAAGAAAATTTTCTTTTGAGTATTTCTTAACTCAATCCTAAAGCTTTTCTTGTAAACTCAAAATTTTGCTTACTTAACCAAGGTATAACGAAACCATGAGAGCATTCAAGGTCTTTTTTTTTTTCCTTCACAAACCTAATGCCTGTGATACACAGTAATTTATAAAATAATCAATCCTTAATTTTCAAGGATTCTTTTACTTCAAGCAAAGTCTTTCCAAATTTGGATTCCTTGTTAATCAAGTCAGTCTACTTTCAAGTTTTCTTGTAAGTAAATATATTACTAATTAATAACTTTTAGAAATACTTATCAATCTCAGCAACGGCTTGTTAGTTTTTATGGTTATGCTTTTTTTCTTCTCATTTTGATGCTTCTTTTCTTTTGACAGTAGCTAGTAGCAATGACTTGATCAGATGTCTCCTCATCCTTTTCTTTATCTTTCATCTTTCTATAATTTTTTCAATTCCCATTTTGCTTCTTGAGGGTATATAATCTTAGATTGTTGTCATGATGAACAAGTAGGACTGTCGTTATGAGCTTTTGCTAAAGCAGCATTTATCTGTGAGGAAATGGCAAGGTACGTGAATGTTATGTTGCTCCATAGCAACTTGGAGGTTGCAGGTCTGAATTGTTGAGTTTCGTCTGTTTGGGTGACATTATGTACCTGTGACCCTCGCAACACCATATTTAGCAATCTGCACTATGTGCATTTTGCTATACTTTGATCTTTTGCATGATTAATGTAATTTGAGAACTCAGCAAGGCCTTCTGCTAGAGTATAATCCGCGGTGGAACTTTAAGAAAATATCTACTGAACTCTAGTGTATTTGTGCCTAAGATCCTTGAGTGGAATCTCCATTTTCTACTTCATCTTGTCTTTCTTTAGGTAGTCATAGGAAATTAGAGGTTTCTATCTAGTCCCTCAAGCATACATTTTAATTAGTGAGATTAAATAGGTTGCCCTTCTCGCACAAAAGCATTTTATGGTCCCACTTCTCCCCAGATTTGCCTAAAAGTAACATTTAGGTTTATATCTTTAATTGTGAGCAATCCACTCGAACATTTTTTGTGGGCATGGAGTTAATGTCATACCTACTGACTGTTGATGCATGATAAACATAATGATAATGGTTCATAAAAGAGTATGAGCATAAAACTAAGGGCATGCAATTTGACTAGAAATATGAAATATGTGCCACTAGGCTAGAAGGTTGCTAAAAGTTAGCCCCTGTGAATTTCCTAGCAATATCTTAAATTTGCAATTACAAAAAAAAAATAAATGGGCGAAGGTAGGAGACATAATGGATGGATATTGTTTTTGGTGCTACCCAGTTGACAATCCAAAAGGTAAAAATGGATTGAGAAATTAGCAAAAGGAAAAAAAGGCTCTCAAGTGCGCTTTTGTTCGGTAAAGCATGTGTGCATTTGAAAAGGATGTGTGTTGTAAAAATGAAAGAACTGAGTGAAAAACAACTCTGCGATAGGAGTTGTATCACTTGTACTTCATGAGGACCAGAGTGTTGTAAGTTGCGATTGTTTGGAGGAATGACATAGATGGGAGGAAGGTTCTTTAGGAGATATATAGAACTTATGCTAAAGACTCTAAAGCTTGTAGTAACTTTGTATAGCACTGCTAGCATCAAGATTTCCTTAATTGCTTATGTTGGTGCTTCTATGTTGCAGTACGTAACTGCCAAGATTTTTTTTTCAGTATCTGGTTTTTACTCAGTTGTATTCTTGATGCAGCTTATGTAGGTCTTGCTACGATCACTGGGTTTGTATGGTGGTTTGTCTATTCTGATAAAGGTCCCAAATTGCCATACTATGAATTGGTAATCTGTCAATTTTGTCTTTATTATTTTTCCAACTATTTCCTGCTGCTTAGGAAGTCCATCTTCTGTTGAGTTGGATCGGACTGCCTTGTTTTGTACCGATTCAGGTGAAACAGGCTTCCTTTGTTTTATATCTTCTAACTACAATTTGTAATAGTCTCCTTAGCAGTCTGTGACACTTTAGATAGTTTTCCCTTTAACTTATTCTCTATCAAAACTACTGCAAACAAAAATATCTTTTTTTACATCTTTCCTAGTAACTCCATATGTCCATCTCAACATTTTCATTTTAATAATACAAACTTTCTGTGTATGTTTTTTTTTTTGCTTAGATCCATAAAACATAGCTGGTATAATAACAACAGTCCTATAGATATTCCTTTGACTGCACAAGACTCTTGATTCCCCTCTCCATTTCAATCATCCGGAATTTATTTTATGAATAGTATCTTTGTCTATCTCTTCATTTTATTAAATAATATATATCCAAGATACCTAAAAATTTTACTTATAGAAACTTCTTGGTTTTGTACAATGTAACCATATCCTCATGTCTACTTCTAGTATTACTTAAATTATATCTCATGTATTTAGGCTCACTCCTTTAGAATGGGTTTGTGTCCATAACTCAAGTCATTTCCAAAGTTTGTGTCCATAAGTCAAATTTAGAATCAATTACATTTAAATTATCATTTACTAAAACAATACAATTCACCAAGGAGGATTATCCTGAATATGAGTGGTAAGGTCATTACTAATATGAAATGGGAAGGACTAAGGACTTTATGCACATACTTGATTTAGTCCTATATTAACAGGTATAACAATAGACACGCTGTAGTAATAATGCTAGTGACTACATCATAACTATCGTACATATCTTTTATAACAATATAACTAGTAAAAATTCTTTCTTTTCTAAAAGAAACCATAATAAATCTTTTAAAAACTTTATCATAAGTCTTTTCTAAATCAATAAAAACCATTTGCAAACTATGAAAACCATAAGAACTAGATGGCCCATAAAACTATGAATTAGATAACAATAGTTGGGCCATAACACTTGAATGGAACATATCATTTTGCATCAAGCTATACTGCTATATTCATAAACTAGTGGATCCACACTGTTTGACATTCACGTCTTTGAATGGCATACACCTGAATAGATCTGCACATGTTGTACCGAAGATTTGGCTTGTTCACTGTGTCTTTCTTTGTGCGTTTGTGTGCAAACTTTAATCCATTATCCTAAGTTTCTCGGTGAGAATTGTATTTATATTATTATGTATTCTTTTGGTATTATTTTACTCTTTCACTCTGGTGTGTATGTGTTGATTTTGACATTTTTAGCCATGCAAACATTAGTAAACACTTCTGGTGAGCAATTTTGTTTGATATATGATGCTGAAGACATTACAAGCAGTAATAAACGTGAAACTAATAAAAGCAATAAACCTACAATCGAGTCATGGGCTGAACCTAGTTAGCAAAGGTCATATTCTTGGATCTTGACTCTTGGAGGTCAGGTCAGGTAACAGAATTGAGCATCAAAGAAACACAATGATGAAAATTTCTTGTGGAATAGTAATTTAATTTACAAGTTAATGTTACTGATTCCATTCCAAGAGGAAATATCAGGTATAGTTTTCTTCAATGGTCTTGATATTTTGAATATTTCAGAAAGTATTATACAGACATTAAATTTAACATGAGTAGTTGAAAATTTTTTTGCTGAAAATACTAGAGATCAGATCTCATCTGCATTCCTAGTCCTAATTGACTTATAATAAGAACCATTGTAGGAATAAAACTAATATGGACTGGGAAAGGTTTAAGTCCTAGAAGTTTAAGGAGCTAAAAGAAGAAATACAGGAATTACATTTGGACTCCCATGCTAGTATAATTTTGGCTTACCAATGGTGCTGTTGCTGCATTGATGTAATACTTTGGTTTTTATTTGGATGTTGGAGGTAGATAGCAAATGGGGAAGGGGAAGAACTAACAGAGAAGAAGAAAAAAATAAATTTAGAAGGAAGAGAGCAAAGATAAGAAAGTCATTTCATGATGAGTGAACAATTATGCTTCTAAGAACTTATTTAGTTACTCCTTGTTCTTATAGCTCACATGAAAAAGATTCCTTTTTTTTCATACCAAGGTCTTACAAAAACTGTAGAAGAAAGGAACAGCATGCAACATGAACAACATGCCACAAGAATGGGCAGCAAATATATGTAAATTATAGTTCTACCTTATCTGAGCAATTGACTAAAAGATATGGTGATTAGTGCATGAGGCTACTGCCAATGCAGAGTCTGGGAAGGATCAAATTGTGCAACCTTGCCTCCATAGATAGGGGCTATTTTAGTGACTAAAACCTTAGTAACCTAGTTTGCAAATGAGCAGTTTTACCATTGTATAATATCAAACACCAAGTTATAGAAATCTCCGATGAGAGCTCTTTTTAATTATTAGGCCATTAAGCCATCACAAATATTTCCTATTCTTCTAAAAGAATAAGTTACAAGTTACAACATTATCCAATTTATCCAAAATTCTTTCCAAATTAGTTGAGTGACTAAGATGGTCATTTATTTATATGGTGCTTGTAAATTTTAATCCTTCACAATCTTCATCATTTTGGTGGACCTACATCTCAAAGCTGGTAATGACGCTCAAGTCTTATGCAAGAAATCCTTTACAATCGGGTGATATGTTTCATTTACAAAAAAGATACCGACATGAATATAAATATTAAGCAAGTTACTGATTAAGCAAAATGCTGCTCTGGGTGCAACTAAGAGTGAAACCCTCCAGGAGATGAGGCCAGCTGGAGATTATTCTTTGCAATCAATACTGATACTTTTTCTTCGGAGTTAAAGAGGGACAAGCCTATTCAACAATAATAATTATATGAAGAAATAATGTATATATATTACATGTCACTTTGAGGCATACTAGTCTGATAAAGATGGTAGATATTATTTTCTTAGGCTATCATGTGACTAGGCTTTCCTCTTTCATGTGGGCTTTTTATGTATGTATGTATTGACTGTTTGAGAATTTGTTCCTTAATCGTGATGACAGGACTTTATCTAGTATGCTCTTTTGTCTTGTTCTTCCTGTTTATGCTGTCTTCTAACATTTGCACAACCTGACTTTTTTCTAATGATGTTAGGTCAATTTTGATTCTTGTCCAACAAGGGAGACATCATATCCATGCAGTATATTTGATGATCGGCATCCATCAACTGTATCAATGACTGTCCTCGTTGTCGTTGAGATGTTTAATGCTTTGAATAACCTAAGTGAAAATCAGTCTCTCCTGTAAGTGAAAATTAACTGAAGTAGCCTTCTTTTTGGAAGTTGTGAGCCTCATCTTAATGTGCATATATTTTGAAATGAACACAATGCTCTATCTTTCGAGTCTGTAATCATTTTGTTAACATTTTGATTATCTAGATTCCTTTAGATCTATTGTTTTGTACTTTGATTTTATTTTAAATATTATTATCAATAATTGAAGATTTATCAATTATTATCAAAACAGCAAGTACTATTTCATTGACGATAGATCTCTTGTACCGGTGTTCGGTCAATTGTTTCCTCTTAGACTGAGTTTTGTGCTACCCAAAGACCGAGTTACCCTACTCGAAGAGTGAGTTTTCCTACATACATTTATTGTTGCTCAACCCCTCGACCAGTTGACCTAACCTCGAGCAAACATTGGCATCTTATTTGGGTTGTTCCTTTGCTACCTAGGTGACAAAAGGTTTGAGCTTTGGTAACAACTACTTTGCTTACCAGATTAAGGTTGCATACATTGGGCCTCTCTATGGCCCCATTGGGAAGAGTTTCATGCATCAGCTGACTCTTATTTTAACTATTTTTTACTGGAGATTGAGTTTTTGCACCATGATATGGTTTCTTCCCTGTTGGTGGCGAAGATTCAAGTCATGAAAATAACATCTTTACTTATAGAAGTAAGGCTGCACAACCTCACATCGTAGGAGCCTCGTGCACTATTATCAATGATTATCATTCTTAGTGTGGCCTCACATTGTGTTTTATGATTAGGCTTCAACAGGCCTCTGCGCCATAGTGCACTTTAGAGTGTTTGAGAACTCATCGTACTTGTCCAAACAATTTTCTGAAGTTATTACTCTTTAGTCGGTTGTTTTGATTGTAATAAATCAATCTTTTTCATTTTGCCTTTATGATATGCTGAACAAATAGGTGTCTTAAGTCCATCATGAGTTACCTTTCATTTGTAAATTCATGACTGTCCCAAAATTACGTGTTATGCCTCCATTAGAACCATATTACAAACTAGTAGTTCCTAAGAAGCTCAGCTTATGGCACTGTTCTATCATAAATCCATGAATTTCCCAAAATAAAGCATGTTGTTGGTATTAGAACCATACCACAACCTATTGATTCATGCCTTCTGCTAGGGACAAAAAGATCTACAATGACATCTAAGACAACCAACAGAGAACGTGGCAAAAAAATATAGAAAGGGGCTTAATTCAAACTCACTCATAATCTAAACAGGTTCACCATTAGTTGCATCAACACAATACTGGACCCAAGTCAATTTCTACGAAATTCTTTTTTCTTAAATCAGATTTGGTTAGTAATGGGCCTCATAGACAGCTAAGCGTGACACCTCATAGACATGTTACAGAGAGCTAAAAGCTTGGGCTTGAAAAACTTCATTGAAATGAAAGAAGGTATGTTTTTACATAGCACGAACAAGTACCTTGGCAACATATCTGTTCCTGGTAGAATGTTACAGAGAGCTAAATGTAAAGAAGAATGTTTTGCCAAGTTGCCTGAGCTTAAGCTAGAAATTTCTTTTGAATGTGTTCCCTTCTGTTGATTATTGTTTCTAAACTGCCTGCAGAATGTTGTTCGCCTGTAATAAGTCAACTGCACCTGAAACTTGCACCCATTCTTTATTTTGAGGCTTGTCTCAATTGTCAATATGAATAAACTATCCAGTGCAGTTAAATGGTCGCAGATGCTTGATGCTTAGTTCATTCCTTCCCTTAATTTTGTGGTTTCTCGAATTACATATAAAGCAGGTTAGTTATGTACTTGAGTTAAATGTGAGACAACATATCTTTTGCGTGCTTCATTGATCTTTGCTCATGAAAGTTCAAAATGCCTTGATCACTGTGCTGGATAGTTTTCTGTGAAATGGTTGAAGACTGAATTTACCATTTGTTGTTCGATAATCACTGTTGGTTTGAGTAGGTATTGGTTCAATCATTACTCAAGCATAATACTGTGCCTTGGAAACAAGGATTTTGTGCCTGACTGTAACTTCTTTGGTAGTTTGTAATATTAGTTAGTAGTCATTCTGAACTAGGGGAGATGTTCTAATGTTAGTGTTCATGCTGCCCTACTTTGCAGTGTCATTCCCCCATGGAGTAATCCGTGGCTACTAGCATCAATAGCTCTGACGATGCTCCTCCATGTAGTAATTTTGTATGTAGAGCCTCTGTCTATGCTTTTTTCGGTAAGTCCTTGTTCTCCTTAACTTGTTAATGAACTTCACATTGTGAATTGACTTAGAAGCTGAATTTTACTATAAAGGCTTAAAATTAAGAAGAAGAAAAGAAGAAATATAATAAATTCCACGTGATTCAGGTGACTCCACTGTCATGGACTGAATGGACTATCGTTATGTACCTATCCTTTCCTGTAAGCATTCTTTCTCTCTTATATTTACCATTATGTATGTAATATATATGGTAACTCATTTATATTTATATTTATATTTATAGTTTTACCACTTCATGATTTCTGGATTACAAAATATTATAATTTTGTTGTTGTTAGATGAATTTAATATTTAGTTCATTTGCATTGATAATTGAATTCACTTGCAAGTGCAAGGGAGCAAATTTCCTGTTTTGACAATTACAATATGCCCCTCATGCTTTACATTGTTTTGTTACTTTCATTTTAGATGCATAATGTCCAGATACTATGAAGCATTCCTTCATGAAGAATTCATAGTATAATCTGTTTTCAAATTCCATAATCCACAATGATGTCTTCCCAAGACCAAAAATAAAAAAATTACATTTAGTGTAAGTTTCAAATGTCTGAATTATCTTTTTGAACCTTTCCTGATTTCATCGGCTAGTAGAAATCATGCTGAACAATAAATGGTTATGAATGTTGGACTTTTGAAAACTCATGCAGTGGAACCCACTTAGGTTCTCTCATGTATATATTGCCAGCTTATGTGACGAAACATATACTGTGTTCATTCTACCTTACATTTATGCATGTGGGTCTATGTGAGTTTATATAAAGTTGGATGCATGTCTCCATTTAATGGATTTGGGTGTTTGTTATACTTGTAATATTTTTATTTAGGATCATTTTATGTGATGAAAGGCAGCTTACATGTATTCATGTTGATCTCAGTGAATTTATCAATGCATATGGAAGTGGACTCGATGTATTGAATAACAGTATCTTTTACAATTATTAGAATTTTATTACCTTTATTTATTGTGTCGGTTTGACAGTATATTTCTTGTATTTTGAAATACTTGTGTAGAGGTATCTGGTACACATCTGATTTCAATATTTATTGGCTATTACTTGGTGCTGGACCTTGTTTTTCTACAATGACCTTCTGATAATTCAAAATATTGATATTTCTGGATGTCAGTGTCGTTGCTTCCTATGAAGGGTGTTTATCTTAAAAACACTCTTGGTGTGTGTGCATGCTTGTCTGCAAGGTGTTTGGTTGTTTGTATTTTGATCTGTGTTCATTTATGCCCTCTGCCCCAGTCAGAACTATCCATTCTGTTTGATCAAATAATAGCAGTTTATTCAAAATTGTACACCTTTTTTCTGTTGAATTTGTTTGATCCCTTCTCCTGGCATTGGTTCAACCATGGTTAGTGGGATGGATGACATCTGCTTTTCGATAGTGGCATTGTCCAGTTATTCTTTTGTTCCTTGATCTGTCTTACTCTTTGCTAAGATTTGTTGCTTTAAATAAGAATTATTGTCATGCACATGCAGGATAATTTTCTGTATAATCATTTTTTACTAAACACTTGATTTATTGATGACATGAATCTATTGTAGGTAATCATTATTGATGAGGTGTTGAAATTTTTCTCAAGAAATTCCAGAGGTACTCTCTCTGTTATTTCCTTAATTTGTGTTCTCGTTATTGAATGCTGTAATTTAGCGAGCTTTTTGTAATTTGATCCCAAGTATGTATGTTATTCTTCTTGATTGTGTTGGATTTTCATTGCAAAGACATCTAAGAATCTATAAGATTGAACACTGTTAATGCAATATGGAACCTGCTGCATTTATTTGAATACCATAGAAATTTCATCTACTGATAGGTAGCTTATTTCATTGTCTGCAGGCAGAAGGTTCGGCTTTAGATTCAGAAGACCTGATGCACTTCCAAGAGAAGCCCGCGACAAATAAACTTTTTCACCCAGCTTTGAGCAAATTTTGACTCAATCAGTGCCCGAGTTAGTAATGAAAAAATCCTACCGATGCTTAGGTTCAGTGAAAGTACATGTAAAGCAGATGTTCTTCGAACTGATGTTTTTGGCAACAGTTCAATTCCTTTATCTCATCGTTTATAGCGTGTACAACTAATTATATGGGATGATTCAGATAGTTTTGTTCAAGTTCATCCTTTGTTTTCCGTCAAATTATAGAAGATATTTCCTTGTAATTGTTTTATTCCCTTGTTTGTGGCATTTACAAAGATCTGCTATTTTGGAGGTCTTTGTACAACTTTTTTTGTCGAGATTGAACATGTCAATACAATGTTGTCACAAAAAAAAATAGAATTGAAAATTTGAGTGTCTATATATATATATATATATATATATATATATATATATATATATATATATATATATATATATAGAGAGAGAGAGAGAGAGAGAGAGAGAGAGAGAGAGAGAGAGAGAGAGAGATTATAGCAATCTTTCATAGAACTTGAATAAGGTTAAGATTTTGGGAACTTGCTATCATGAAGAATTTTAGCTATGCAGTACCCTCAAAATATATTGTAGTAAAAGTAAATTTTGGTGAAGAGATGATTAGTTAGTGGAACCTTCTTAACATTTAATAACTTTAAAGGCTATCAAGGTTTAGATCTCTTACTATAGGTCACATGGCCACTTGCAATCTGTTGGGACCAATTTGTTAGCGGCTACCGTTGAGGTGCGTCACCCCATGGAGTGTGGGATGAGGAAGTGGTCAGCACGGGGGAGTGATGGGGAGGGGACGCTCGGTAAATATAGTGAGCGCAGGGTGATGGCGCTTCCTCCTGCATGGCGTCGCTCCGACGTGATACGGCCGTGCAAGGGAAGCGTCAATCATGTTCTAGAGGTTGTGGAGGACGATGACGTAACGCCTCTCACAAATGCTGCGGCTAGCCCGACCGCCACGCAATTGGAGGTTGTGGTGTGGGACTCGCACCGACCAAGCGGGTTGGTAGGGAATCAGAGCAGGTGACAGAGTCGTAATCGCACGCCGCATCGGCCTTCGAAGTAGGACGAACACATGAAATGGAAGAAGATGATGTTTATGACGTTGACTTTATGGTGAAGCCTATTGCATCTTCTCCTTCGGAGGACGAACGCACGAAGCACGACGCTTTTAGCGTTGAGAGAAGCCTATTGTGTCTTTTTTTTTCTTCTTTTTTTTAACTGACTTTTAGAATATATATTATAGATATGCTTTGATTCTTGTGGTTATCGGCTAATAGAAATAAAATTTAATTATAGTAATATTTCTTAGGAGATAATATTAATGACAAGAACTCTCATAATTATCATCGTAAACCTTCTGCTCTTGTCTATAAAAATAAAAAAAGTTTTAATTTTAAAGAGATTATATATATTTTCTCATTTCCCCTTTGTCTCTAATTCATTGCTTATCGTAAACCTACGAAGGTAGGAAGAGAGGAGACTGAAAGTCTAGTTTTCTTTACATATTGATATTGATATTGCTATAGCTTTTGAATCTGACGTCGGTGCGATCAGATATCTGAATAACATCAAAAGGTACACATTATAAATTTGATTTATTGTTATTTGATTTCAGTTTTTAGCATCAAAATTTTGCATAACAATAGCATGTTATAATTTTCATACTTAAAAATGATATCAGAGTCATATTTTAAAATCAAATACTTTAGATTGTAAAATTATTTAAGATCTATTTCGTATTTAGATCTATTTATTAGCATCCTTTGCTTGTGAAAGGGTGTTATTTGATTTTGATTTACGATGTTTAGATGATTCGTCTATATAGTAGTGTTGCTACCTACAGCGACGATTGTAGCAGTGCTGCTATGTGCAACGGTAGTAGTAGCACCGCTGTGTGTGACGGCTATAGTAGCACCACTACGTGCGACGACAATAGTAGCATCGCTATAGCTAACATTAACTAGACGTCACAAGTCATGATTCCCAACAGTTGTGTAATGAAAAAGGGAATAATGATGGTGATTGGTTGGCTATGTTGTTAGATAGCTGTATATGACGATGTTGTGTTGTCGATAAAGGGAGAGGTGATAGAACCCCAGATCTTTGAGGGGGATCAACCCTTGGAACACTGTAGGGTTCCACCCTCCAAATGACTACAATATTAGATAGATCTTATTCTCAAAAAGATGGAGGCTACATGCTTATATAGGGCTCCAAACCCTAGCCATAGGGGCTGATTCCTAAGTGAGTTACCCCTTTTGCCCTCAACCCAAACCAACCAACCCAGTAAAATGGGGCGACAGGTAGGAATACCAAATGCCCAAATATAAACCATAGCCACTCTTCTTTATAGGATAGAGGTGGCTAGGTGGGGTTTATTACAATCTCACAGAGTTTTATTAGTTGCTTCTTGGTTGAATATGACCTAACTCTACTAGGGTCCTATCAAGCCCACCCTCTTCAAATCAGCCTTGTCCTCAAGGCTAAGGTTCCATGAACTCAAGGAACTGGGTCTTCAGCTCCTTATATGATTCCCATATGCCATCTTCAAGTGATTAATTATTCTAATACACTAGTACTTCAGTAGAGGGACGTCGACGATACTTCACGATCCTACGGTCGAGGATGGCTTGTGGTTGGGCTTGAATATCTCCATCCTCAATGGTGTTGGGCAATTAGATTTAGGGTGACTTGTGTTCTCCCAACTTGGGTTTTAGGCATGACACGTGGAAGACATGGTGAATTTTGGCACCCTTAGGCAATTTAAGTCGTACGCCATAGCTCCAATACGCTCTATGATCTGATAGAGCCCATAAAAACATGGGGATAGCTTCATAGAGGCTCGTATATTGATAGAGAGTTGCTTGTATGGTTGTAGGTGAAGATAAACCTAATCCCATACTGAAAATTCTCTTTTGCTTCGTCGTGTGTCGGCTTGCTGCTTCATTCTAGCTTGAGTGGAAATGAGATTATCCTTTAGCAACTATAGGAGTTTGTCCCTGTCAATTAAATCTTGATCGACCTAATCTACCTTGGTCGAGCCAATTACATACTTTAGAATCACAAGGGTCGGCCGACCATATAGTGCTTCATATGAGGCACATTCTATAGATGAATGATATGTAGTATTATACCATCATTCGGCCTAGGGAAGCCATTTCGCCCACTCTTTTGGCTGGTCACTAGCATAACACCGAAGGTACGTCTCTAACCACATGTTCACCACCTTTTTTTGAACGTCAGTTTATGGATAATATGCTATGCTCATATTGAGTTTGGTGCCCTATAACTAAAATAACTCGGTCCAAAATTTACTAGTGAAGATCCTGTCATGATCACTTACGATGGACCTTGGCATCCCAAGCAGTTTAACAACAGTTTCTATGAAAATCTAAGCAATACTAGCAATAGTGTAGGGATTTCGCACAGCACAAAAATGAGCATATTTCGTAAGTCGATCAACCACCACGAGAATTATGTTTTTACCTTTGGAAGGTGGCAGCCCTTCGATGAAGTCCATGGAGATGTCAGTCCACACCGAGTCCGGTATGGGTAGTGGTTGTAGCTTCCTTGGACTTGCCACTGTTTCACCGTTGTGTTGTTGACATACATCACATTGTGCCATATATTCATAAATAATTTTTTTCATCCTTCTCCAATAAAAATTTTGCTTCACTCTTTTGTAGGTTCTTAGAAATCCAGAGTGCCCTACTGAAGGTGTGGAGTGCATTTCATGTAGGATGATTTTGATGCAAGGGGAGTCGGGTATAAGCACAATGCGACTTTTGTAGCGTAGATCCCTCGAATCCCAAGTGTAGTGGGCTATTTGTGCTTGGATCCTCCTCTAAATTTTTTATGATATTGCTAATCTCTGGATCCTTCTTCCATTCTTCCCTAATGTTCTCGAGGAAGTCGGTGGTAGGAAGGGAGATGGTTGAAAATTTAGCTTGCTCAAGTAGTCATGAGAGTGCATTTGTAACAACATTTTCTTTCCCCTTTTTGTAAATAAGTTCATAATCAAATCCTAAAAGTTTGGTTACCCATTTTTGTTGCTCAGGGGATGATATTTTCTGCTCCAAAAAGTACTTGAGGCTTCTATGGTCAGTTTTAATTTGAAATTGTCGGCCAATCAGGTAGGGTCTCCACCTCGTTATTGTGTGCACAATGGTGAGCATCTCCTTACAATATATTGACATGTTTTGATGAGAGGTAGACAATGCCTTGTTGGTGTATGCGAGTGATCGACCATCTTGTACGAGAACGGCTCCAATTCCGACTCCAAATGTGTCAACCTCAATGATGAAGGGTCGGTTGAAATCTGGTAGCGCTAGCACCGCCATTGCTGTCATGGCTGTCTTAAGTTTATCGAAGGCAGCGGAAGCTTTGTTCAACCATTGGAAGACATCTTTTTTCAATAGAGAACTAAGGGGTGCACTGATCTTCTCATAGTCCTTGACAAATTTTTGATAGTAGCCCGTTAGTCCAAGGAACCCACACAGTAATTTCACGTTTGTAGGTTTCAGCCAGCCTTGCATTGCTTCAATTTTTGTTGGGTTTGTTGGGAAATCTTTGGGGGCGACATCATATGTGCAGCGGAAGAATAGGAAACAAAATCCCCTATTTTCAAAGAGATGTTCGTCGTCATGCGAAGATTGGTGTGCAAAATCCATGAAATAGAAAACTATGTATAGTAAAGATTGTGCTACGTAGGGAGATCATATATTCTTGAATCCTTGCAGATCTCTAGGAGAGGGTAAAGGAGGTCAAGTGCTCTCCTCTCTAGTGATGATCCACACAGTAGGGCTGCGACGATGCTCATCTAAACTCCAGGCCTACTTTGAGGTGGAGAGGGGGAGGAGAATAGGAGAGGCAAGACTGAATCCCTCCTATTTATAGAGGTCACCTATCAATCTTAACCCTAATAGATCCTCCCCTATTGAGTATTGGATCTTCATCTAACTACCCAAGCCTCTTAGATTAGTGGATCTCTATCCAATAATCTCTCATGGGCTTTTATTGGATCTCGTCCATGAGATTCAATAATTCATGGGCTTATTGGATATCCGATAAGATAGGGGCTCCATTGGATATCTCATATCCGAACCTCTACTCATCGCAATGCCTACCATATATGTGTGACCCTCTAGGCCCAATATCGAGCTGGCCATGAGTCATACTGTCAGAACTTCTTTTGGCTCAGTAAATTATTATCTTCATAATAATTCACTCGACT